GATGGTAGTGTGCAAAATGACGATGGAGGTGACAAAAAGGAAGAGAGTGAAGACAGAGCAGAAGATCAAGTGGTGGAAACTAAGGAAAGAGACATGTTGTGAAGACTTCAGGAAGGAAGTAAGGGCAGTTCTGGGCCGTGTTGAGAAATTCCCAGATGATTGGGAGACTACAGCTGCAGTGATTAGGGAGACAGGTAGGAAGGTGCTAGGTATGTCCTCTGGGCAGAGAAAGGAGGACAAAGAGACCTGGTGGTGGAATGATGAGATCCAGGAGAGTATGCAGAGAAAGAGATTAGCGAAGAAGAGATGGGATAGTGACAGAACAGAAGAGAACAGACTGGAGTACAAAGAGAGGACAAGGGAGGTGAAGAGGGAAGTGGCTCACGAGAAAGTATCTCGTGAGCACAAGATGTTTTTTTTTTCCATGTCCCTTTAGGGGCTCCGTATCGCCTTCTCCGTCCTTACATAAAATAAAAGACAATGGAGTGTGTCCATGAAAGCAATGTATTTTTGTTTTATTGAATTATTCATAGTTGCTCAGACACGTGTCTATACAAATACAAATACTTTTAAGTCAAATTTTTGTTGACGTTTTATGTTGGAAAATATTCCCCACTGATGTCATAGTGGGGGTTTAACAGTGAGGGAACAAGGGCAGCATGTTTTTTGGTGAAGGTTATACAAACACACACACACCAAACCAAAAACAATGTGACAGGACAGTTGCATGAAATAAACAGGTGGCTCCTGGGCCAGAATGAGGCCGAGGGGGAGGTTTGTGACGAACACAGAGTGATGTAAAGGTTTACTCCACTTACAATCCGGTTAAGGATTTAATGGAGGGGGTGTGGTAATCCTTAAACCGTACTCATGAGCAACATTTACCAGGGACAAGTGATTCATTTCCATGTAAGAGGACAATGGCAGAAAGCGTCTTGTACACAGACAGGGCTGCCAGGGCAGAGGCTGAAGGGCTAAGGCATGGGAAACACTCTCTGTTGCCAAAGAGGATTGTCATTTCCCATTCACTGTGGCAACAGCAAATGAGGAACACACAAACACCCAAAAGTCTCACACATTTTTTGGGGGAAAAAAAAGCATCCATACCTAGATGTACATACTGTCCCAGTGCCTGTTTTGGGAGGGGGGCTGGCAGAGGGAGGACGTACAGTCACAGGGACAGATTGAAACTATATGAAGTGGATCTTATAGATGAGTGCAGACACAGTCCTTTTAGGAAACAAAACTACACGAAAGCTTCCTGACCCTACTGTAACTTCACAACAATGCTTCATGTTATGTACATTCACTACACAGCTCAATGACGTCACTCAAATGGGGATGCAGAAAACACACGAACATGGAAGTGGTCAGAAAATCTAGTACTAAGAAAAAGCAAAAGAGCAAAAATAAAATATACTTTTCAAACCTTTTTTTAGCATTTTTTTCTCCATTTTTTTTTTCATGTAATCAAGTCCATGCATACGCCACATAATGAAATCGCGAGATCCTGCGGTTCAAAAAAGCAGACAGTCTGCTCCGTAGCATATCTTTTTGAAGTTGACCAACATGCTCTCAAACACTAAAGGCAGAAAACAGTCTGTGTTCCTTTCCAAGTCAGGATCCTAATGTGAGGAGATGGTCGGTGGGTTGGTGACTGGTTTGAAACATGTAACAAGTGAGCCACTTGTTGGCTAAAGTCCAGCCTCCTGTACACATACAAGGTGTGTACAGGTCCCGCAAGTTTTTCCCCTTGTCTTAGCTCAAAATTTTGTTAGGCATTGAGGATCAAAGAACACAATGCGTAATTCGAGGACAGTACACATTCCGCAAAACTCAGAGATGATACCGTGTTCATTTTTAGAAAAGACATAGGAAAAAAAATAATACTTTAATATCAAACACTATGTACATCTAGAAGTTGTCCTAATAATAATAATAATAATAGTCATAATCATCATCCTAACAATCATAATAATTATACAGTTTTAACAATAGTGTTTCTCCTTTTCTTTTGTCCTCCAGAAAGGTACAAAACAGATACTACCCTAACACTACTTGTTTTATGGTTTTAATACCTCAGGATACACAGTATCCAGTTTATAAGTTGATCCTCATTTCCCAAGTTAAGGTGTGTACAGAATAATCCATGGTAATAACAGCAATAATGACAAATAGTAGTATTGGTAACTATAAGAGATTAGAGTCAAAGCTGGTTTTTGATTAAAAACAAACAAACTAAGTTTTTTCTGCTGACGAGCAATCATTTTGATTCTTAGACATTAAATGGCCTGGTCTCCTATTTACCCCCAAACAGCTGAGCTGCTATTTACACTGCAATAGCATTGTTACCGTAGCAAAAAAAAAAAAAAAAAAAACAAATGTCAAAAGGCAATGGCTGTTTTTCTGGGGAAAAATGAAAACAGCATAAAAGACTGCCACAAAAATATGAACGAAACAGAAAAAAAGTGCGTGCCTTTTAAGACCAAATGGTAGTAAACAGTATGTTTATCGCTGAATCAGCTGTTTCCTTCAAGTAGTGTTGTGTGAATTTTTTACTTTTGTTTTGTTAGGCACTCTAGTCACACTAACTTTGGCTTCAACCCCCACCCGCTGTGGAAATCTACACCCTGCTCCCGAGACCCCCAAGCCTTCAGCATCTATTTTTAATACCCGCTATAACTCCCCCTAACTGCAAAATGACAGGCGTGTGGACCGCCTGTCATTTTGAGCATCATTAAGAAGTTACTGAAACCAGTAACACTAGGACCAGCAACTGCGCCTGTGCTGCTCTTCCTCTGGTTCTTAAAATGCAATCTATGCCTGTTTGTCGTACAAAACCATTCTGTGAAAGTAAGGCAGTTTTAGAGAAGTTTTTTTTTTCTGTTCATGTTTCTTTGAAATCAATGAAACATTTAAATGTGGAACACATAAGCCTGACTTGTGTTTGATCACCATGTGTATCTGTGAGGGATTAAGGAGGCAAAACATAATCTCAAGGGGTGAAGGGGTGAGGTGAAACGTCTTCTTTTAGAAAATTCACATCCAGTTGCCTAACAGAACTTTTCAACCTTGACCATGACCTGGATGACTGAGAATCTTCATAGACATAATCTCAACGTTAAAACTCTTTTTAAAAATAAGTGATAAACTAAACCTGTCAGACACAGAGAGCTGAATATTGCTTTTGTTTTAGTGGCTTCTCTTTTCTTAATGCTATGATGCGTAAAAAATAGAAAAAAAAAACAACCAATAATTATTTAAAACAAGGATGGCTGGAATACGTAGGGCAAAAACAATGTTTAATTGCCTGTGATTGTAGATTGTAATCAAAGTGAAATGCCGCATTCATTTTTAGCAGCGACTGATTCTTAAACAGTCATTTTAGCAAACATTGGCGGAGGAAAAATACTGCAGATGCAAACATTGGCGAACGGTGATATTGACTTTTACTCAGATGGAACAGACAACAATCGTTGCTCGGCTCAGTGAGCACAGAACAGGACGACTGTGGTCGTTTGTCTGCCCTGAAATTGTGTGACTAGCTTTCAAAAGGTATCGATCCCTGCTCTTAATGACGTTCTGGTGAGAAAGTTTCAATTTGGTTGTTCTGTAAGTCAGACGCTCCGACGATTAAAAACCTGTTTTCAGTGATTACACACTAAACAAAGGACAAGGAAAAAATAGGCTTTAAACTCACTCACTGAATCTCTGAGTGACACATTCACATAAACACGGGAGCAATACGAGTGAGATAATTCAGCACTAACTCTAAACCTTGGAGTCTAAAGATTAGTGGGTTAAGGTACATGTTGCTTCTTTTTTTTATTATTCTCAGTGTGGTCTTTCCCAGACTCAACACTAAATTAAAACAATTTTCATACATTTTTTCATACAGATTTTTTTCTTTTTTTGCAGAAAGGCTGGTGCAGCAAATCATTTTTTTTTTTATGATGCGACTTATTGTTGGGAAATTTCTAAATCCCAGAATCTTCACTTTTTCAACTATGTAATGCTGCTATTCCTCAAAAATGTAGTAAAAACCCTGTATGCAGCATTGATGTGTTTGGGCAGAAGGATAAACATGGTTGCTGCAGTGACACAGATGTGATATAAAGGGACGTCAAGTCACCAGAAAATAAGAATCACTAAGTGTCAAAAATTGAGATTTGGCATCTTGGTTGAAGGTCTAGGATGGTGGGGGGGGTGGGGGGTTCCCCATCCAACATCAACTTTTATCACTCACAGACAGAGAAAGACCACTTAAATATTTCATTGAAAAATATAGAGGGTTCCTTGAGAAGCCTGCTCTGATGCCCAAACAAGCAAACCTGCTGCACTCAAAGCCTGCCCCCTTCCCTGCAGCCATGGGCATATTCAGGCCACACTAGGTGTTAATGCCCTCCAGGACAGAGGGAGGCACTATAACGTGAAGAGTGCAGCTACACAGAGCAGCGACAAAGCCAGGAGCGGACTTGTTTTCTGCAGGTGTGGCACGCCATTTGTTTCGCTTCGAGAAGGCTTGGCTGGTTCATGGCTGGTACCCTCTAGAAAAAAAAGAAAATCATTAGAACACTGCTGCATTTAGTGGAGACTTGTTTTGACAGTTCTAGCTAGCAAATAGGGAATAACACTTCTGAAAGGCCAAATAATATAGGGTTGCGGTGTAAAGGTAGCCTACGAAGCTAGCCACACTCTGACAGCATTTCCTGTTTAGAATCTTTACCCTGTCCCTACAGCTGGCTGAGTGAGTTCTGAAAAAGTGATGGTGAGTTCTGAGCTGCCATGTGAACTTCCATTGCTGTATCATGTTTCTGCGCTCATCCTCAGAAACATACTGAAATCAGCTCTCGGATGAGTCGCCACCTACGTCTGTCTAACAGTGGTATCAATACATGTGAGCAGCCATGTGCCTGCTGCACCATGGAAAATGGGCCCAACCATGCACAGCAAAGAGGGAACAGAGGATGACTGTACTACTTTTGTACATAACTGCATTTATAAAGAGTGTGTGTGTGTGTGTGTGTGTGTGTGTGAGGAGTGACAAGGCAACAGTAAAAGATGACAGATGAATATTCAAATAAAAAATGCAACATGCAGGATGTGAGGCACACATCAAAGATGCAGGCAATGAAGACGGGCACCTGAAAAGACAGACAGTGAGGAAGAACTAGTTGTAGCTGTGCCATTGTAATGCATTCCAATTACCGTGTTTTATCTAAAAGAGGTGCAGTTTATATTCTGATTTTACAAAACCCTGAGTGAAAAACTATCCCAAGGCTGATTACAATTGCTGAGACCAGGTTGTCAGATATGAATCTGCATGTCATCAATAGAAAGGTCATGCCGTATATTTATAGGAATATAGGAACACATGTTTTTTCAAATTGAGTTTCTCACTGTTTATATATATATATATATATATATATATATATATATATATACAGTGGCTTGCAAAAGTATTCATACCCCTTGAACTTTTCCACATTTTGTCACGTGATGACCACAAACATAAATGTATTTTATTGGAATTTTATGTAAAAGACCAACACAAAGTGGCACACAATTGTGGAATAGAAAGATAATTATACATGATTTAAATTCTTTTGACAAATAAAAAACTGAAAAGTGCAGTGTGCAAAAGTAATCAGCCCCCTTTTCTCTGAGTGCATCCAATTGCCTTCAGATGTTGCGTGATGATTGCTGAATGATTGAATTGAGTCCACCAGTGTGTTATTTAATCTCAGTACAAATACAGCTGTTCTGTGATGGCCTCAGTGGTTTGTTAAAAGAATATTGGGGAGCAAACAGCATCATGAAGTCCAAGGAACACACCAGACAGGTCAGGGATAAAGTTGTGGAGAAATTTAAAGCAGGGTTAGGCTATAAAAAGATTTCCCAAGCTTTGAACATCTCATGGAGCACTGTTCAGTCCATCATCCAGGAATGGAAAGAGTATGGCACAAATGAAAACCTACCATGCACCTAAACTTACAGGCCGAACAAGGAGAGCACTGATCAGAGATGCAGCCAAGAGGCCCATGGCGACTCTGGATAAACTGCAGAGATCCACAGCTCAGATGGGGGGATCTGTCCACACGACAACTATTGGCCGTGCGCTGCACAAATCTGGCCTTTATGGAAGAGTGGCAAGAAGAAAGCCATTGTTAAAAGAAAACCACAAGAAGTCCCGTTTGCAGTTTGCCAGGGTCAGAGGGACACAGCAAACATGTGGAAGAAGGTGCTCTGGTCAGATGAGACCAAAATTGAACTTTTTGGCCTAAATGCCAAAAAGTTCAATTTTTGGCATTTAAAAATTGAACTTTTTAAATGCCAAAATGTTATAACTGCACTGACCGATGTAATAAAAATAGAAACAGTATGTGGGTATAAATATAGGTAAGCAGCAACAGTAACAGGACACCGCTCTTGTAACCTGGTGAGGAATTAGTTCAGACATGAGTGGAAGGCACAGATCAGCTTACAGGCAAACAGCAGAAAAAAAGGAAGGAGGCACAAAACGAGACACGTGTTTGGAGGTCATACTGAAGACAGAGAGAGAGAGACACACTGAGAGAGAAACAAAAAAGCAGAAAGCCATACTAACCTCGTGGTTCTAATGTATTGTCTACCTTGTCGTTTACATCAAAAACACGGTCATGTACACCTGTAGTTTTCACACAGCTGTCTAAAACAGAGAATAGGGAGAATGAAAGATCATTAGAGGCAAATGCCAAATAGATCAGCGACATTTGAAGCCCCCTCTCTACACCCTGGAATCAAACATCCCGAGCAACAAAGCTAATGGCAACATTCAGATGAGGTTATGTAGAGACCTGAGTTTCATTTGGTGTCATCATTTATCAAACTGTTTGTTTTCTTTCAAAAAGAAAAAAAAAAGATATCTTAGCAACTACAGGAGTTTGTGATAAACGATAAAAGAGACTAGGAAGTGGGCACAAAGTACTGCAAGGACGTAACCGTGTGTTGCACAATAAACACTTACTTGATGGTCGGACAAAAACTTTGAGCTTCAGGCATGTTTTCCTGCCATTCTCAGCGATGGTGGAGGCTGGAAAAGAGGAAGAAGACGTGGGTTAAAAACTCAGACCACATATACCACATCTGGATTTACAGGGTAGAAAACAATGAAGTAAAAACATTTCAAATTATATATTTCCTTTATAAATACATAAATAGATTTGTAATATAAAGTAGAAACAAGGAACCAGAGACTATTAGGAAGAAGGTAGATCAGGTTAGAAAGGATGAAGTTAGAAAAGCCCTGAAGAGGATGAAGAGTGGAAAGTCAGTTGGTCCTGATGACATAACAGTGGAAGTACGGAAGTGCTTATGAGAAGTGGCGGTAGATTTCCTGACTGGGTTGTTTAACAGAATTTTAGAGACTGACAAGGTGCCTGATGAGTGGAGGAAAAGTGTTCTGGTGCCAATTAATAAGAAGGGTGATGCACAGAGTTGTAACAACTACAGAGGGATAAAGTTGATGAGCCATACGATGAAGATTTGGGAAAGAGGAGTTGAAGCTAGGTTGAGGCAGGAAGTGGAGATTTGTGAACAACAGTATGGTTTCATGCCTAGGAAGAGTACCACAGATGCAATATTTGCCTTGAGGATGCTGATGGAGAAGTGCAGAGAAGGTTAGAAGGAGCTGCATTGTGTATTTGTATTTGTGTATTTGTATTTAGAAAAGGCATATGAGTGCCAAGGGAGGAATTGTGGTTCCGTATGAGGAAGTCAGGAGTGGCAGAGAAGTATGTTAGTTTGGTGCAGGACATGTATGAGAATAGTACAACAGTAGTGAGGTGTGCTGTTGGAAGGACAGAAGACTTCAAGGTGGAGGTGGGACTACATCAAGGATCGGCCCTGAGCCCCTTCTTGTTTGCTGTGGTGATGGACAGATTGACAGATGAGGTCAGACAGGAGTCCCCATGGACTATGATGTTTGCAGATGACATTGTGATCTGTAGTGAGAGTAGGCAGCAACTAGAAGAGAACCTAGAGAGGTGGAGGTTTGCACTAGAAAGAAGAGGAATGAAGGTCAGTCGCAGCAAGACAGAGTACATGTGTGTAAACGAAAGGCAGAACAGTGAAATAGTGAGGCTACAAGGAGCAGAGGTGGTGAAGGTGCAGGAGTTTAGGTACTTAGGATCAACTGTTCAGAGCAGCGGAGACTGTGGAAGAGAGGTGAAGAATAGAGTACAGGCAGGATGGAACAGCTGGAGAAAAGTGTCAGGAGTGATCTGTGACAGAAGAGTGTCAGCTAAGGTGAAGGGAAAGGTTTACAGGACAGTGGTGAGACCAGCCATGATGTATGGTTTAGAGACAGTAGCAATAGGCAGAAGACAGGAGGCGGAGCTGGAGGTGACAGAGTTAAAGATGCTAAGATTCTCTTTAGGAGTGACAAGAATGGACAGGGTCAGGAATGAGGTCATTAGAGGGACAACACAGACAGGAAGGTTTGGAGAAAAAGCTAGAGAAGCCAGATTGAGATGGTTTGGACATGTGCAGAGGAGGGACAGTGGATACATTGGTAGAAGAATGTTAGAGATGGAGCTACCAGGTAGGAGAAAGAGAGGAAGGCCAAAGAGGAGATATATGGATGCAGTGAGGGAGGACATGCAGGTAGTTGGAGTCAGAGTAGAAGATACAGAGAACAGGGAGAGATGGAAATCAATGATTTGCTGTGGCAACCCCTGAAAAAGGGACAAAGCCGAAAGAAAAAGAAGAAGAAATAACTCATAAGAACCAGACAAGACAATACCTTCATTTTTTACTTAACCACCAAGAAGACAAAATCATGGCACTACATTTTCCCTTAAAAAAAAGAAAATAAATAAATAACCACAAAAATATGCATAAACAATGATTGCATATAGATTACAAAAATTACCCCTTACCTGACAAGGGGAAGAAAAAAAAAACCCACAAAGAACCTAAACAATTTCTCAAGATTCTGTAAAGCCCCACACAAACAAATGAACCGCAAAAATGAACAAACATGAAAAACAACAACCAATATTATGATGTAAAACAAAGTAGTAACAATAAAAAATAAAAATCAAAAACCCACTCTTTTATGGAAGTCACCATTAAAATAACCAAAAGAATGTTAAAAAAGGCACAAGTGTTTCATTATAAAAACCCACAGCAAATAAATTGAAATGCAAAGATCAAATACCCAGGATTTTTTCCAACGAAAAAAACAAACCAAAAATCAGTCACTGCTAGAAGAGAACCTAGAGAGGTGGAGGTTTGCACTAAAAAGAAGAGGAATGAAAGTCAGTCATAGCAAGACAGAGTGCATGTGTGTAAACGAAAGGCAGAACAGTGAAATAGTGAGGTTACAAGGAGCAGAGGTGGTGAAGGTGCAGGAGTTTAGGTACGTAGGATCAACTGTTCAGAGCAGAGGAGACTGTGGAAGAGAGGTGAAAAATAGAGTACAGGCAGGATGGAACAGCTGGAGAAAAGTGTCAGGAGTGATCTGGTTTATAGACAGTAGCAATAGGCAGAAGACAGTAGGCGAAGCTGGAGGTGGCAGAGTTAAAGATGCTAAGATGCTCTCTAGGAGTGACAAGAATGGAGAGGATCAGGAATGAGGTCATTAGAGGGACAACACAGACAGGAAGGTTTAGAGAAAAGGCTAGAGAAGCCAGATTGAGATGGTTTGGGCATGTGCAGAGGAGGGACAGTGGATACATTGGTAGAAGAATGTTAGAGATGGAGCTACCAGGTTGGAGAAAGAGAGGAAGGCCAAAGAGGAGATATATGGATGGAGATAGTTGGAGTCAGAGTAGAAGATACAGAGAACAGGGAGAGATGGAAATCAATGATTTGCTGTGGCAACTCCTGAAAAAGGGACAAAGCCGATTTGAATTTTTTGTGTGTTAGGAAACTGGGGTATGAACTAACAGCATATTTTACAGTCCTATCTAACAGAAAAAGTTTCCTGACAGCTTCCATTTGGGAACTGTCAACTCCTGTTCAGTGATCCTGTACTGAAGCTCCCCTCTGTCCCAGCTGTGTCACATTCTCCTCTTATCTGTCAGTGTGGTCATATCCACAAAGCAGAGTTCAACTGGCAACCCTACATAATTCTCAGACACACAAGCTAGAAAGAATGTAGAGACTAATTTGATTACATGGTATTATTACTATTTCTAAATCTATAGCATCAATAATGTGAGTATTTTAATTTGTGGGGGGAGCTCTAGGGACTCATGATTCAGAGGGGCCCTGTACATAGGTCAACACATCTTTGAAGAAAAGTTTTCAAACTGACACTGTGGTCACAATATAAAGGAAAGGAAGTAAAGGAAAGTGAACGCCTTGTCATTGTGACATACACCACTTCACACAACGAAATGTGACCTCTGCTTTTAACCCATCACCAAAGTGAACAGTGGGCAGCTTAAGCTGCCCGGGGAACAGTGTAGTGCCTTGCTCAGAGCACCTCAACTTTGCAACTTTGCAGCTGATGGACTCAAACCTGAAGCCTTCCAGACCCAAGTCTGCTTCCTTAGCCACTAAGCCACCACTGCCCCTAAAAACACTATATCAATAAGGATAAAAATAAAGGGAAAAATAAGTCTCTACACAGCCAGGGTTTGTTCAAATACCTGCAAACTGCTGACCTTCTTAAATAAATCACAAGTTAAGACAAAGACAAACTGAGCTGCAGTAGGAATACACAAAACACTGATGCATCAGTGTGCAGCTGGTTGTAGTCAAAAACCATAACAGATTTTCCGCTCACATGATTACTAGTTTTTAAATTTAGCACCTGCACTGGCATTGATACTGATAAATTAACTTATAGAGTAAATTGCAGTACTAGTTCAGTTTTTATTTTAATTGTTGGAATTCTACTGTGGTACAAGTGATGTGTCAATTTAGAGAATAACTCAGTATTAATAATTCCTTTTTTTATGTACTTGGCCTGCTGTCTACTCTTGTTCCAAATGTTAAAGGTCTTTTTAAATGCATGCTTCATGCTGCTTTGACTCAAAAGCGTTTTCTACAGCTCATAAATGTCTTCTTACTGCCTCCTGCCTTCTGACCTCTTTTACCATTTTAATGTTGTTGCTCCATCAACTGTTATCTGTTTCTTAGTCAGGTGTCACGGTGCCAGTCAGGTGACCGGAGATCACTCTCTCGCACTTTTCACACCTCAGTTCATTTTCAACAGATGCTCGAAGGAAGAAAGAGAGGGAGAGAGGGCTTTATGCTACCATTTCCAATGCGCACTCGTACACGCACGCACTCATCCACAGATGTTCTGTCTTCATCACTGTTGAGGGCAGAACTGATTCACAGCTATCAACACCAGCCACTTAGCAAAGGCAGCTAATCATGAGAGAAGTATGGACCTGATGAAAATGGCAAGAACATGTGGGCTACTCTGTCATGATGACAGTTACAGAAGATGCCGCCATGTTTGCACTTTTGGCTCCAAAACATCATTAACGCGTTATGCAAAGGAATATACTTGACAGAGCAATGGGGGGAAAATATCACTGTAGTGTACATATACACATACGTATATGAAAACGTTTGGGCACCCCTGATCATTTTCAAGATTTTCCTTTATGGATCATTGGTTGTTCAGAACAGCAATTTCAATTAAATATATAATATAGCAAACAAACACAGTGATATTTAAGAAGTGAAATGAAGTTTATAGGATTTACAGAAAGTGTGCAATAATTACTTAAACAAAAGTAGGCAGGTGCATAGATTTGGGCACCCTTGTTGTTTTATTGATTTGAATACCTTTAGCACTAATTATTGGAACACAAAATTTGTTTGGTAAGCTCATTGACCCTTGACCTACATACACAGGTGAAGCCAGTCATGAGAAAGGGTATTTAAGGTGGCCAGTTGCAAGTTGTTCTCCCCTTTGCATCTTCACTGAAGACTGGCAACATGGGAGCCTCAAAACAACTGTCAAATGACTTGAAAACAAAGATTGTTCGACATCATGGTTTAGGGGAAAGATACAAAAAGCTAGCGCAGAGATTTCAGCTGTCAGTTTCCACTGTGAGGAATATAGTG